CCAACCGAGGCAGGAACAAGGACCCCCCCCCCCAAAAAAAATCTGAAGGTACCACATCAGTAGATAAACAGCAGCAGCCTCTGGAGGGTTGACACAAATGAGGTGTATCACACCTGTTTCAAAGGCCAGAAAGGTTCCCTCAATGAAAATGGGACTGCAAATTCTGATCCTACAGATTTGATTTCCCTAATAGGTCCCCCTAGAACAGTGTTCCTCAACCTTGGAAGCTTGAAGATGGGTGGAAGTCCACCCATCTTCAAGCTTCCAAGGTTGAGGAACACTGCTCTAGAAAGAGTGGGCTACTTTATGAATATGGAGTGTGGGGTAGGTCCCTAAGGTCTATTCCATCTTTCCCCCTTGTCTTTCACACAACCCACGACCTCCTCAACTCCAACTCCAGAGGTGGCTACCTCTGATCTCCATCCAAGCATGGTGGCCACCTTGGTGCACAAGGTTCAGATGCTGTTTCCTGAGGCTGGTGGGACTCAACGGACCTTTTGAGAAAAGACCCCAGTGAGTTATGGAGCCCAAAGGGTAGTCAGATCTCAACCTGGGCTCTTTGGGGCCCCTTCTGTGATTCGGAGGAACGAGCGGAGATGGAGGAGGTTGCGGTTGTGGTGTTTTGGAACTTCTTATTTTTTTTCATGGGTAAGTTCAGTTTGCCTCATTCCTGTCCTAGTTTGGCGGGGAAGGAACTGGGGGGGGGGGAGAAAAAAGAAAGTTTGTACTAAAATCGGTGCTGTGCACATCACTCCAAACTTTCTATTTACAAGTTTCTTCTAAACAATATTCTCCAGTTGTGTTTTGGTGTCTTCGTTTCATGAGGGCACGCCTTTCTGAGAAGACGCTTCCCTGACACCCCCTGTTTAAAACTAAATCGACAAATTGCGTCTGAAATTCAGAAAAGTCAAAAGTTTTTAATTTGGAGCCTTGACTTGAAAACATGGAATTAAAGAAGGCCATACCGATCATACAGACTAAACAAATTTTCCCATCTTCCCTCTTTCCAAGCCATGCATTTTTTTTTTTTGTGTTGTCACACACCCAGGTTACCACAGAGGTGTTTGCATGTGCATGTGCTCTGCGCAGCTATAATTATTCCGCGTGTACACGAAACAGTTGCTATAAACACTGCCATGAGAAAACACGCCTACGCAATTTTTCAACGTAAACACAAGCAGAGAGCAATTTTAATGAAAGGTGGCATTTTTCCAAGGGTGGGCAGTGGGCACCATGTTCCCCTACTTTCCAGTTGCCGTAGGGGCACACTTGAGAGAGTGGGGAGTAACAGGGACCACCACCCCATCCTTAATCCTTCCAACCCAGGGCTCCATACAAAACTAACATGAGTATCTAGAGGAGGCACGTGTTCACCAAGACCAGTTCTTCTTCTCCTTCTCCACTTCTCACCATCGTATCTTCTCAAAGGTTTCAGGGACTCCTTTCCCTACATTCTTGATATTGAGAACAACCTTAGATGGGGTGAAGTCCTCCTGACATCAGGCACCAATTTTAAGATCAGGAGCAACAAATATCAACTCCCAACTGACCAGAGACTGTGAAGAACCTGCCATGTCTTCTTCTTTGCATGGAAGAATGGAGGAATTTCTGCCTACTGTTGCTCTTTGCCAATGAAGGACTTATGGAGGTCTTCTACTCCACCTTTCATTTCTAAGAGGAATGGGGTAAGAGGTTCTAATATATAGGAAAGAACTAAAGGGATCCATCAGGTCAGGGGTCTCCAAACTTGGCAACTTTAAGCATGACGGACTTCAACTCCCAGAATTCCCCAGCCAGCTGGCTGGGAAATTCTGGGAGTTGAAGTCCTCCAGGTTTAAAGTTGCCAAGGCTGGCAACCCCTGCATCAGGTGGTCCAAAGGAGAGTAATATGATTTGTTCTTGCTGGTCATCCTGAGTGGGATGGTCCCTCGTGGCCTTCAGAAGACCCAACCACGAGAATGCTTGCAGAAGGAAGGGGATTTGGAGTTGAGCACTGAACACCTGACTGCAGAAGTGTGCTCACCTCACCTGCTCCTAGGCACAAGGACCTGGCATGCTCCCCTGATTTCATTCGAGCAAACTTAGAAGTACAGTAGCCACGGGACAATCAAGATTCTACCTCTCTGCCTTGTTACTTAAGGGCTGGGGCTTTATGGCTCGAAAATTAATCTTCAAGTATACCTTACACCTGAAGATTAGCTCTCTTCAATGCCCGCTTAGCTGATGTGCATCCAAAATTGATTGGAATTCCATTCTTTTAACCTCAGGATTTTGCGAATGCCGTACACGCATTACAACCCCCCCCCCCCAACAGACCAGAGGCTCCTCCACGCGGGGAGCCCACTTCTAATTAAACAAGTCATGAATTTCTCTGCGTGGACCCCCTCCTGCCCCCCCCCCAAAAAAGACCTCCAAAAAAATAACAACCCCATTGTGGGAGCATTAAGAGGCGGCCCTCCTCCGGCCCATTCTGCCTCGGCTTATCTGGCGAGGAGGAGGAGGAGGGAGGGAGGGGGGCGCACAGCTTGGGAGGAGAAGAAAGTCCAAGGTGTAGCGGCTGCTTTTGTCAACAACGTGGCTGGAATTTAACGTGGCTGTTTTCGAGCATCAGGGCGCCTCCCCCTCCCGCCCGGATAGGAAGGGAAAAAACATAATCATCTTTCATAATGACAAACTTGGCTCAGCGCTGGCTTTACATACTGTACCCTCAAAGTGGGCCGGCAGCCAGACAGCGCTTGGCATGAGGCCACGGCCACAGCAACAAACAGAAGCCGCGTGCGCCAGGAGAGCGGGAGGAGGGGGGGAAACGGGGCAAGAAGGGGAAGGCAAAACACGCGTTACACCCCACGTGTCCTGGGCTGCCCTCCGACAAGGGAAAAGGTGGTTGGGAAGTGGCCAGCCCTCCTCACCCCACCCCACCCCATTTCCTCCCCACACTTCCAGTGGACACCTGCTGATAAAAACACAAACCTTGTATCTGCACAATTGCCCAGAACTTGCAAGAGAACCTCAAAGGGAGGTTTCTGGGGGTCCCAGCTGAAGTTGGCATAGCTCCCCCAGGGGCCAAAGGAAACAAAGGGGGCTTTTGAGGGGGTTTGGAAGGTTCGTGGAAGTTTCCTGAAATTAGACCCCCCCCCCAAGAACAAACAGGTCTCCCCAGCTTTTCTGCCATGGCTGATTCTCCAAGACCACCCCGAAAGGTAACAGTGCCCAACTGATGGTCATTCCATGCCCTGGGAAAATTTACTCTCCCAACAACAGAAGAAACGGAGGAAGAGAGCTAAGAGGTGGGGCTGTCTGCCCACTGTATATTTGTCCCTCCTCCAAATTCAAATCAAAACCTCTCTTGGGTAAAATGTGAGCTCTTCCCTACTGATTGCTAAGCTTTATGGCAACGTTTCCTCCAGAGCATTCTACTTACAGAATCCTTAAACTGTCCCAGAATTCGGCTGGAAACAGAATGCCACCATTTCCATCCTTCTCTCCTCCTCCGGCCAGGACGTTGGCACCTCTTAGGAGCAAGGAGTACAACCTCACAACCAGGGGGCTTTCCTTGGGAGGGACAACTAAATGTTGCCCCTGTGGAGAACCCTCAATTCCATCCATCGTCTTTATACTCCCATCACCCCATCTCAACCTAAGGTCTGCTTGTCCTCCCAGGAATTAATCTGCATGCCAATTTGGATTGAGTAGCACCAAAAAAAGTTTCCAGGTTCCACCAATGATGAAGATGTTGACGATGATGTTGGTGATGATAAACCTGGAGATTTTATCCAGGCTCTTGGGCATTAAGAACACTATGGTGGCACTCCAAGAACCGAGTTTTCTGTTAGTGTGGGTGCCCACAGACATTCAGTTGAGAGATACGAGAGAGTGGGGAACTAAATTAGCTTCTAGAGAGGCAAGTATCGTCCCCAGCTTAGCATGCTAGTTCCTCCGTGTACTTTTAATTAAAGGGCCTGCATCATTTCAACCTAATAGGGAAATTCATTAAACGAGTGCCCAGTTCTGCCACTTTTGCTAATGAAACTTTGGTGGAGGCTTGAATTTGGAGAAGAGGAGATTCACGACGCATGTCTGAAAATGCAAAATTCGAAGGAAGACGGTGGGTGGAGTAGAAGAAGGGTCTGTCCAGGTGGGAAGCTGATGGACGAGGCCCCAAACTCCAAGCAAGAGGGCTCCCTGGTTGCCATTGAGAACTACCCTTGTACAGCTGGGGAGCCCAGAACAGCCTTTACGAACGAGAAGGTCTCCCTCTGGGCCTCTCTAAACATCCCAAACAGGAAGGACACCTGGTCTACCATCTCAGAAAGAGCCCAGTTTTTGTTCCTCTGCAGGAGCTCCTGATTTGAATGCCTCGGCGTCGACACAAACTGAATCCCCAGCCTGCAGCTCTAGTTCTGTTTCTTGAGAAATCTCTCAACCACCAATGGTCACAAATCACATCTTCCTCCCAAAATCAAGAAACGGCAGCAGCTGGGCCCCATCGCTAAATCCCCCCTCAACACGGCCAGGGGTAGCATATTAAAGACATCAATCCATTTCATGGTTGGTTTTACTCCCTTAAAAAGAGCAACAAGACTTCCTTGCCTAGATGGGTTTCTTCCCACCAACCCCACTGGAAGATCCATGGCAGTCACTCCCAGGTGGGCTTCCACCCCCAGCAAAAGATCTTTTTAAGTGGAGGCAAAATATCCAGGACAAACGAGAGCTCTGGGAAGAGGGGAAAAGGAGAAGGCCGGGGAAGAGGTAACCCCCTTCTTGTACGCTACTATCCAAACAAGGCATCCAGCCATTTAACACCACACCTCCTGGGGTCCTAAGCACACCTGTTGGGAACATACCTGTCCTTCTGGGGGACCTGGTTGAACGGTTTTAGAACCAAGGATTTTGGCAAATGGTAACTCCAGGACAAGACCGACGTTCCCATGAACTTTGGGTCAAGATGGAAGAACACAACCACCCCGCACACACACACACACACACACATACACACTTACCTGAATGAGCCAGTAAGTGCATTCGAAGGCGGAGACTGTCAAGGAATCGTTTTCCACACAATTCACACCCATAGGTCTTCATTGCACTGTGCAGTTTCCTGCGGGGAGGGGAAATGAAAAGAGGAGATGAAGTCTAGGTCCATAGCTTATGGGGCCTAAGTGGGGAGAGGGCACGGCCCTTCTTGAATTAGGAAGCCTCCCCCAAATTCTATCGATGCAGAGATTCTCACCAGCTCAGAAAACCCCCGTCCCCCCTAATGATTGCCTGTTGGGCACAATTCTTACACAGGAGAGTAAACTCTTACATGGAAGACTAAACTCTTACACGGAAGAGTAAATTCTTACATGGAATTCTCACACGGAAGGAGAAGCAATGACATTAATTTTACAAGAGTGGCTCGTATCTTTGGAATCGATTTGACATCTTGGTGAAGGCCCTGAATACTGAAGCAAGGGCATACACACACTTTATTTGTGATGGGTGTGTATTCAATGGGTGGGGTTATATCCTAGTCCAGGGGTCTGCAACTTTAAACACTCAAAGAGCCCTTTGGACCCGTTTCCCACAGAAAAGAAAACACCGGGAGCCACAAAACCCTTCCCGTGCATGAGTATTTCTTGAGCGGCCACAAAATTAGCATTTGTAATTGAATTGAGTGTTCTGTTTTTTTTCTGAAACTTTTCTTTTCTTGGATTTATCCATGGTTGGCCTACCGGAGGTTGAAAAGCTCAATAAATTGCGTGCCAGCGGGTGTCGCACATTGGTGGTTGTGATGCATATTTTGAGTGACAGGGAGGCGCAGCAGAGGGGTGAAAGAGCCACATGCGGCTCCAGAGCCTCAGATTGCTGACTCCTGTCCTAGTCCCTGCTTATCTCCCCACTGCACTTCTGGTTGCCTTGCTCCATCACCCAATTTGAAATTTTTTTTCACATTTCCAAAACAGGCTGGAAATGACTGGTGAAAAGAAACCACCACGTCTGTAGACACGAAATGCAAACCGCGTGGTCGGAAGAGGCCCCCAAAGCACTAAAAGGAGTGTGGGAGAGGTTGACTTTCCTACTTCACGCATGGGCTTGATCTTCCCAAGGCTGGAGCAGAAGCACTCCTTCAAGAAGCCCTGACGGTCTGATGGAGACCCCTCAACCTCTTCTACAAGGAGGCAACCTGCTTTTGGGGAGCCTCCAATCCCACTGATATTCCCAAAATGTTGAGTACGCTCAACTCTTCACCAAGGATAGCAGAGTCAGCTAGGAGCAGTAACGGCAAGTTTTATCAACCCCAATCATCACCATTCCCCTAAAGGTGGAGGGTTTGGGGAGCAAGGAGGAGGAGCCACACAAAAACACCCTTTTTGGTAGGCTATATGGAAGACAGTCTCCAGTCTCCTGAGGTCAGGCCCCTTCAACTGCGGTCTGTGCAGTAGCCATGCCTTTAACTCGGACAAGGCAAGCAAGATTTTTCAACCATTTTAAGAAAATTATCAATGTTCCCACTTCTTAAAGCCACCTGGCTACATTCTCAACCTTTCTAAAGAAGGATTCCCCCCCCCCTGAGATTTATATAGCTAATCCGGCAGCACAATCAGATATGTGACACTTCTGAATTTGGTCAAAAGCAAACATTTCAAGAGTAGTTTTCAGGTTCTTCTTCTAGTGGAACATTTGAGAAACGTTGAAGCAAACATTTTTTTTTAAAAAAAGGAATAACTTTACTCAAGACAAGTACCTACTTACACAGCTTGGCTGTAAATAAGGGGCCACTTTTGGCATATTTTGGAACTATTCTGAAATACACAATTCAGCTAGAAGCAGGGAGAGGTTGGCGAAAAGAGGGAAGAGAAGAAATTTCTATATCTGTTTTATTTATTTATTGTTTTGGCTTTCCAGCCTTGTTCACAGTCCAGTTGTGGGCAAAGCAATTGTGGCTATTAGAGAGGTGTCTATGTACAGAAAGACCCAGCAGCTGCTTGTGGCATTTGCTGAAAAAACAATTCTTCAAATGCACAGTTTCAAGAAAGGGGGGCAAAAACCCACTAATTATAACCTTAGAAATTACACACGGACAGTTGCTGCTATTTGCCATCTAAATAGCCTTTCAATTCATTTCTAGCTGAAAAGAAAAGAAGAAGCAAAACTCGCCGATATATTTTGTCTAGGACAGAAAAGGAAGAACACAAAACCTTTTAAAACTTCATTTAATAAAAGGAAGACGTCGTGCAATGCACCAAGGCCAACTTCGGGGGACTTAAATGCCAGCAAACCCTGCCCCCCCAAAAAAAGAACAATTCTCTATACCCCCCTCCCCTTGAAGCCCTGGATGAACGGTAGAAAGAAAGTACAATAAACTGGTTTTATTTTTGTACTATGCTAAGCAGGTACAAAATGGTTGATTCGGCTAGCTGGAATACTGAAGCACATCCATCCAACATAAAAACAAGACTTTCTTTTTGGACTGTTTCATAATGTTTCAGATGATGACATTTTTATCAGGCTTCCAATCCGGCACAAATATTTATGAAGACCATGTGCATTTCTGAGAAGAGCTCAAGATGACACAAGTCTGAGCCAGCTCGAGTGGAAGAAGAAGCTCCTTTCAAACAAACAACACATGGAGCAGGGAGTCTGCCAAAAGTCACCACAAATCCAGATTTTCTGAAGAAGCTGGGAGGGCTGACTTGTTAGACAAGACACTTCTGAATCCAGGAGCATTTTCTCATCAGCCTTGCCATCCTGCCAGGACACACTCGGAGCAACCATGAATTAAGGTCAAAAGAAGACGATGCTTTTCCAATGAACCAGCGCGGTTCCTCTCCGTGTCATTATCCTTAAGATGCTCCTGACAGAAGTTGCATCAGAGTCTGGTGTGATTCTAAAGCTGGCTGGATCATTGGCAAAACTTTGCAAAGCTAAACGTGAAGGAGACAAGGAGAAAACAGCCGGGGGGAGGGGGGTAGCATCTATTGAGATCAGGCGGTTGAAATGAGCAAAGACATCCAACAAGAATGCCAAGGGAAAGGTTTAATGTAAGGGTTTTTTAACTTTGGCAAATTTAAGACTTGTGGACTTCAACTCCCAGAATTCCCCAGCGAGCCATGCTGGTTCTTCTTCCTTGGTTTAATATAAGGGAATCTTAAAATGGCTTACTAGCTGGAACAAGGAATGAAACACTACAGGGAGAGAAACATTAATCGCTGAAAAATGTCCCACCCTGGTTCACAGAATACAGGAGGCCCTGGTGTGGCTTTTATGATCTGAGCCACTGTGGCATGTAACCTATGATTCAGGGTTTAGCATGCCCTGTGGGTTTATGCCTAAAATGTGGAGAAACACAGTTTAGGACAATGTGAGAGTCCAAGCATTAAATACCATTTCATGAATCAATCATGCAGGTGGATCTGCGGTGGCTTAGAGGTAGAGCTCTTGCCTCACAATCAGGAGGTTGTGAGTTCAATCCTACCCTGTTTCCCCAAAAATAAGACATCCCCTGATAATAAGCCCAATCGGGCTTTTGAGTGCATGCGCTCAAATAAGCCTCCCCCCCCCAAAATAAGCCCTCCCCCAAAATATCTAAATGCAGAGCTGGAAATCAGATAAGACGGCGAGAGGAGCCCCATCTTGCTCCACGCACCCCAAAAGAATAAGACCTCCGTGAAAATAAGACCAAGCACTTATTTTTATTTCAAAAAAATATAAGGCAGGGTCTTATTTTCGGGGAAACACGGGTAGGTAGATGCAGATGTAGGATCTTCTGCTTGGGCAGGGGGTTGGACTAGATGACCTGCAAGGTCCCTTCCAACTCTGTTAATCCACCTTGATCACAAAGAACCAAATCCCACTGTTTTTGCAAACGGCCTCCAGTACCTCTAAGCAAGGAATACAGAAAGTACTGCAAAATGCAATGTAACGTCATATCATAGAAAGTCTGTATATCATGTCTTCTATGACAGTGTTTCTCAACGTTGGCCCCCTTTAAGACGAGTGGACTTCAACCTACATAATCCCCAATTGGGGAATTCTGGGAATTGAAGTCCACACCTCTTAAAGTTCTCACATCTTGAGAAATCCTGTTCTATGAGATAGAAATAGGGATCTTGTATTAATTTAATAGATGGGTGGTGTCTCAGAGAAAATTAGATCGATCAGATGGATTTGTAATTGGCTTTCAACTGGCCTCCTTAATTCAAGCCATTGAGGTCAGGCACGGACTTCTTCACGTGTCCTTCATCCTTTCCCATCCTTTCCCAGTCCATTCCTCCTGTGTGGGGCGATCTTCAACCTATTAATTCAATAGAGCAGTGGTTCTCAACCTGTGGGTCGTGACCCCTTTGGGGGTCGAACGACCCTTTCACAGAGGTCGCCTAAGACCATTGGAAAACACATATTTTCAAAGGTCTTAGGAATAATTTTATGGTTGGGGATCACCACCACATGAGGAACTGTATTAAAAGGGTTGCAGCATTAGGAAGGTTGAGAACCACTGCAATAGAGGCTTCTCTAAACTGGTGTTTTCAAGGCCAAGAGGGAAACTGAGGAGCAGAAACCCGCCCCTTCCAATGGAGGAAGGAGCCTGGATCATAACTTATGAAAACACAGATCTACTATGTGTAAGAATGTCAAGAAGGTTGTGTTGCTGTTTCCAACGAAGGTCTGATGGAGAAGTTCAAAGATGCCCAAAAGTCTGCACACTTTCTAAGAGTCGCCTTGCCATTTCAGAGCCAAACATTCTCTTCCAGGACCTTAACTTTCTAATTTTGCAAATATGCACAAGAGCATCTGAGCCTATTAAAACGACAACAACCCAAAATGTGTCTTGTTCTACCTCTGTTGCTGCTCCCACCCACCCGCCCACCTCCTCCAACAAAGTTTCCACCGAGTGTCAGAAATGACAAAGGGACAAATTAATCTCACTCTGGCCAACTGCTCACCTAGAGATCTACACCAGCTTTGCTATTGGTTGCATAAGCAGGCCCCTTTGTTTTAAAGAAATAAATAAAGAACACGCCAGCCTTTCGGCAAGTAATTTATTTGAAATATCTCTATCAACAAATTTCTACAGGAACAAAAGTTTTCCATTTGGCACCTGCTTAGAGGATGATG